ATTTCACATTTAGCATGAAGCAAATATTTCCCATCACGCCTGTCTATTAATTTATAGAAGTATTTCTATACTGCTGTGTTACAAAACATCAAGGTGGTGTACACTGCTAAAACTTAGAACATAATTTAAAAATTAAGTTTTAAAAATACAGAAAATCTTTAAGGTGACTGGATAATATGCATTTGTAGCACCTCCATTGTATTAGCAGGCGCTGGTATACTTGTAGTCCAAAGCAGCTTCACATGGGGAGGGGAATCTAATGTGGTACTGGTTTGGGTGTGTGCATTTGAAATAACATTCTATTATTTATTTATTCAGTTTATATCGCGCCAGTGTGGCAATGCTGATGCCCTTTAACATTTCACTTATGAAAACAGGAGCACTCTTGTCTGCAACACCTTTATTTTCACTTCAAGGATGACTACCCAAATATACCTCCTTTCACTACTACCATACATGTTTGAAGCCTCTTCTCTTGCCTCTGTGTCATCATTTGCTCTGCAATAGCTTGTCAGGCATTGTGAATTACCAAAAGGACCTTAATGGTTTCCTTTAATAAAAAGAGCACTCAGAATATTTAATAGAAATCACTGAGTGACCTGGCTGTACTTATTATAGGATACAAGTGGGAAAGACAAGTATACAGTCATACCTTGGTTTACGAATTTAATCCATTCCGGAAGTCCGTTCTTAAACCAAGGTGTGCTTTCCCATAGCAGTGGGGGACTCAATTTACAAATGGAACACACTCAATAGGAAGTGAAACGTGTTCTGCTTCCAAGGCAAAGTTCACAAACCAAAACACCTACCTCCGGGTTTGCAGCGTTCTTAATCCGAGTTGTTCATAAACTAAGCTGTTCTTAAACCAAGGTACCACTGTACCTTGTATTTTGTGTTGAGACCATCAAGATAGACTATTTATCAACAGGCAGGGTCTGATTACATGATTTAATAGCAAAGTGAGTGTTTGTTCTTTTGGCTGAAGATATATAGCAAAAACATAATTGTCCTATGATACATAACCATATGTTGCAGTTCAAATATGAACTTCAATTATAACTCTGTGAAACAGTGCAATCTCCGCCAAGCTAAGCAGTTGGCTCCTTACCTCTCTCGCCCTGACCTAGCCGCTGTGATCCACGCGACAGTCACCTGCAGACTGGATTATTGTAACTCGCTCTACGTGGGGCTGCCCTTGAGACTGACCCAGAAACTCCAGCGGGTGCAGAATACTGCAGCGAGACTCCTTACGGGGTCTTCGCTGCGAGATCACATTCACCCGGTGCTATACCAGCTGCACTGGCTCCCGGTGGAGTACAGGATCAGGTTTAAGGTGCTGGTTTTAACCTTTAAAGCCCTATACGGCCTAGGACCCTCGTACCTACGGGACCGCCTCTCCTGGTATGCCCCACAGAGAAACTTACGGTCTTCAAATAAAAACATCTTGAAGGTCCCAGGCCACAGAGAAGTTAGGCTGGCTTCAACTAGAGCCAGGGCTTTTTCGGCCGTGGCTCCGATCTGGTGGAACACTCTGTCACAAGAGACCAGGGCCCTGCGGGACTTGACATCTTTCCGCAGGGCCTGCAAGACAGAGGTGTTCCACCAGGCCTTTGGCCAGGGCACAGCCTGACTCCCTCCCTCGGCAATCTTCGCGGAGCTCTGGCCCTATGGTTGCCAGTGGCTTGAATTAATTAATTTTATAATGAATGATTTTAGAGTGTTGTTTGTGCTGTACTTTTGTACTGTTTTATTGTTGTTAGCCGCCCTGAGCCCGGCTTCGGCTGGGGAGGGCGGGATATAAATAAAAATTTTTATTATTATTATTAATAATAATAATAATAATAATAATAATAATAATAGATGGCGCCTTAGTGACATTAGACATGCAAGTTCATTCCATTCAGACATTTTACTTCTACAGACTGGGAAACATGGTCAGATTAAAATCAAAATGACTTTGAAGGCAGATAGGGAACAAAGCATTGCTTCAGATCACTGAGGTTTTAGCTGATGGGGGTACTGTGTTGTGTAACACAGATCATAATTCATAATTCTTGTCCTAAATCAGATAAGAATGTACATTATCACAACTTCTAATGAAATGGACTCTAGTGCGCGAAAGCTTATACCATCTTAAGTAAGGTGCTACAGGAGCTTTATGGACCCAAACACCAACTTTTGCTAAAAAGAAATAGCCTTATAGAAAGTGAAGCAAACCATTGAGATTTGAAAATGTTACAGGTACAACATTTCTAATTTAATGGAGTAACAATAAAGGCTTTCCTAACAACGCAATCCTATGAATTAGTACTCAGAAATAATTCCCACTTAATTCCATGGAACTTGTTCCCTACTAAGCATTTACAGGATTGCAAACGAGCTACAGTGCTCAGTTTGTGAGATAAGCTGCCTTTAGTGCTTCTGTCATAAACCCAAATACCAGCTTGCTGCCATTTCGTTATAACATTATTAGATGCTATATGAAAAAGGCCAAAATCAACTGAGGACAGTCGAGACAGTTCTGCAGAAAAAGTCTGATCCACAAGTAATTTCATTTTATCCATACACTGTACGGAATCACCTTAAACCCAACTCCTCTCAGAGAGTAGACAAAGCAGCTACCCTGTTTCTGCTTCAGTGAAAGCAAGGCAGCTTACATTAAAGTGTTCCTGACATGGACTGGGCTGGGAGCAGGGGAGTGTTATTCTAGGAACTACAAATACAAACTCCCTATAATTTAAATTATTTTCACATTACATGGGAATAAAGTGAGACTTAAAAGAAGCATATCTTCACAAGCATGGGACAAAAAAACCAGCTAACAGTGAAATTCTACACATGCCTACTCAGAAGTAAGCGCCCACCAAATTCAAGAGGGCTTATTCCCAGGTAGACTGATAAACTTTAATACTATAGATGTCCAAAGTCTGAGGATGTGATACAACAGAATTCTTTATGCATTTATATAAATTCACAGATTCATATAAATGTGGGCCATGGAACACTACAATCTATGGTCAACCTCTGCATAAGCTGATCAACACAAAAGGATTATTGTTACATACAAAGACACATGCACACAGACATCTATAGAATAGGTAAAATGGTCAGAAGAGTAATGAGGAGCAGAAGGCAAACAGCTTACCCACAAGGAGGAACATTGCCATTATCATACCCATATTGCACTACATACTGCTCTCTCTTCCACCACATACTAATTGTCTTACCCATCCCTCCAAAGCAAGCTGTGATCTTCTGGGCATACTGGCACAAACCATTTTCGTTGGAGGATTCTTCACCTAAGGTCTGTTCACTCATTGCTTTGAATGCAACTGCTTGTGTCCTTCACTAGCTACAACTTGCTGGAGACAAGATGTAAGCCTTCTGAGCTCTCTTCCAGTTCACTTCCATTAATAATTCAAGCACTCTTTAAAATCTGCAGAGCTCTTAGAATTGATTGCACCAGCCATTTTATAGCTTTGCAAGTAATTATGTTTAGCCTGTGTGTGTGTATCCGATTATGACATTCCGTTAATTTATAGACAATATGCAGAAATCACAACAAAATGCATGCCTTTCATGACTGGCAGGAAATATTATGTTCAGCTGCGAGATATCAGATGGACATATCAATTTCTGCTCAACTAAGAATTAAAAAAGGAAGTTGAATAACCACATGGAGGATGATAAACATCATGTACAATTCAATGTACAGGGCTCTGCTCCTTACAGATGGACTGGAGTTCGATTAAAATAATGATGATGTTTGGCATAAAACTAATTTCCACATTTTTGTGTTTTATGTTATAAAAACAAATCAGAAAGAAAAACACGGCGCAAAAACTTCCAAGGAAATAACTGCTACACTTTATCTACATGTTTTAAACAGAGTTGTTATAGATGGAACTGTGGATGTTCTATACTGAAAAATCCAGATTGGTATAGCTTTTAGCATGCATAATGTCATTCTTTCCCCATTCACCTGATGAAAGCAATGATAATAGGTAAAAAGAATAGTATTGGAGAAAAACCACTTTGGGGGGTTTGTTTTGTGGTTATTGTTTTTTTGCAATCAAGCAGTGCATACATTTTGTGAAATAATATATAAATATATATATTAGGGATAGAAACTAAACAAACTAAAGAATAATTTTCTCATCCAGCTGAGTTGCATTCATGCACTTAATTTAACTTAGGTTAGCTTCTTAGCCATGTGAGATGCAACCAAGTTGTTCAGAAAGTAGCCTAATAGTACCAAGCTACTTTTTCAACTCATCTAGGCGAATGAACATTTGCAGCAGTGAATCAGACCACCCCAGCTATTTTATTAATTATCATTCAGGCATGACCTAATTGTCTACACAAAGATTGTTTTTTATTAACCTGACCTTAAAATTTTAACAATTTAACAGGAAGTTGAACTTCTCCCTGGTTTGCAAAAAGCATATAATATAGTTAGTGTAGTATTATCTCCTATGGCAGAGGAAAGTTCTGGAGGAACTCTACATGAAAGACCTGCTATTGGCTTATGGAAAACATACAAAACATGCACATTATACAGCCAAGCATGCTATATTACACATCCTACATCGTCACCTCCCCCACTCCCTCCATTTCACTAGGATTCTCCCTATAGAAGCTCCAATTTTTAAAATCTGTTTTTATTAAAACATTTATCTACTGCCTTTCTGTATTGAAAAGAGGCCCTAAGGCATATTAGAGCCCCCAAATCAGGGCTTCAACACCACACATACAAGTTATCTCCAGAAAATTTGTTTCTCTTCCTCAAGGCATATTAAGAACTGCCACCGCAACATTACCCGGCAAAGTCACAGATTTCTTACAAACAATTCCAAGAGAATTCCTCCTTATGCACATTTTAACTTTAAAAAATAATCTCAATTTATTATTATTTATTCAATTTATATCCCACCTTTCTGCCTGAAGGAATCAAAGTCAGCAGTCATTTGTCACATAAGAGCCTCCAAGAGACTTACAAAGTTTAGCTCAGCTGTTTATAGAGCATGGTGCTGATAATGTCAAGGTTGCAGGTTGGATCTCTGTAAGGGCCAGCTGCATATTCCTGCATTGCAGGGGGTTGGACTAGATAATCCTCAGGGTATCTTCCAACTCTACAGTTTTATGATCATGGCATAAAATTGGGAGAATGGGACCAATGAGTACCTTACAATAAAAACATTACTGTGACCTATTAATCAAATGCAATAAAACAGCAGCAAAACAAAACCCCCCACCAAACTTACTTTCAATAGACAGCAAAATCATCATAATCCATCAAATGCCTGGAAGAAGAGGTGCCCAGTGCTGAAAGATATTAATGATAGTGCTAAGGAAAGCTCACTGGGGAAAGCATTCCACAAGCCAGGAGTCACAATCCTCTTTCAAAGGGGGAACCAGGAGGAGGACCTAGAATAAAGGGTCTAGGTAGGCTCATAGTCAAACAAGTATGACAACCTCTGAATGAAGCTTTGTGTTTAATGGGATCAAGCAGTCTTCAGCTACATTTACAATGCAATTGTGTACAGTGGTACCTCGGGTTAAGTACTTAATTCGTTCCAGAGGTCCGCTCTTAACCTGAAACTGTTCTTAACCTGAAGACCACTTTAGCTAATGGGGCCTCCCGCTGCTGCCGCGCCGCCACCGCGCGATTTCTGTTCTCATCCTGAAGCAAAGTTCTTAACCCGAGGTACTATTTCTGGGTTAGCGGAGTCTGTAACCTGAAGCATATGTAACCTGAAGCGTATGTAACCCGAGGTACCACTGTATTTGCTGACTACATTTCAGTGGGATTTACTCCAGAGCACTACCATTCATTTAGCACTTTTACTAAGATAAACTACAATCAATCAAGATGGATATGCAACAGCAGAAAATGGATAGTTATTCATTTGTTTAAAGGAAGGATGCTGCAAGGCAAATGTCAGGGATCAAGTAAGTCCAATAAGTTCAGAAGGTAAGCAGCAATGGCATGGCATATTGCATCCTTTCAAAAAGCAGTTCTATCTATCATTTATGTATCTATCTATCATCAATATATTTATATACCACGTCATAAAAAAAAATCAGAGTGGTTTACAACAGTTATAATAAAACCATACAATAAGAATCATATAAAATATTTTAAAATTAGGGATCAGCTAACTATCATGGAAATATGCATTCTAAATTGCTCGCATAAGCCTGATGAAGCCTGACAGAAGAGTTTACAGCAGGTGTTTAGAAGTTGAAACAGAAGGCGCTTGCTGAATCTCAATTGGCAGAGTATTCCACAAGGAACACCCTTTATGCTTGCCTTTGTGCTCACTTGTCATAAAATGGGCTATGAACTCAACCTAGAAAAATCACTAAGATAATGTTTTGATCCATAACGCTTGGGATTTGGACTGAATATTTTGCTCTGTTTTGAAATCCCTGTTCAGCCAAGAACTCCCATAGTGGGTCTGAGGCACAATTCAGAGCTCTAATTCTCCATCTTCAGAGTTTGAAATAATCAATCTGCCTCCTAGCAGAGGGCTGCAAAGTTGATTTCCATGCTGCAAATGAGAAACACAATCATATATAGCACATCACCAGCAGACAGGTATTGCTGACGAACTAATCAAATCAGAAGACAGTGTCGGCTATGAAAGAAAGGCTTAGCTGTGCTGCAAGGATCATTTAGAAATCACAGAACAAAGAAAAGGCAATGCAGCATATTGAGAGCTACTCTTCGCCCCTGCATTTGGGAAGGGCTTTATGGCAGCCAGTGATCTAATCTGATGTCATCCTGGCACCAAGCTAGAGAATCTTGTTTGTATTCTCAGACATATAAAAGGTTGACAATAGGACTGTTTTCAAACAGACAGTGATTAAAAGACTTTGCCTGACTGCTCCTTGGCTACGTGAGGAAGGAAGACACTTTGGAACACAGTGGGAGAACAGGAGCCGAGACCACCCAAAACTTGAGGAAGGAAGGTGTGTGCTGTGACTTTACATACATTGAATTCATTTAAGTTTGTGGCCTGTGAAATGGGATAGTGCTGAGGCATACCCATTTTTAGCTCATTTCATAAGCATGTCCCTTTACTAACAGGATAACATCATGTGCTTAACTGGCACTAGCCACATCAGGGGCTTCCCAACTCGACTCCTCCAAAAGTCTGAGCATCTTGTGAAAGCAAGGGAAAGAGCCTTATACACTTAGGTTGAACACTTCATCTGCATGCGCGGACTCCTAGCTTCTTTCTAGGTGAGGTTGGGAAAGACCCTCTCTGAAATCCTGGAAAACTACAGCCAGGTACGGTAGGCAAGCTGGATGGATGAATAATCTGCCTTGGTATAAGGCAGCTTCCACTGTGAGTTTAATGTCTGACTGGCTTCCAAGAATCCTGATTCAGCTGAGAGATGATTGGTATTTTAATACAGTTTAGTCCCAGGGAAGCCCTGTTTAGGCATTCAGAATGCAAATTCAATTAATGTACAAGATGGAAACAGAAAGTTCTGCTGCTTCCCCCAGTGGCTGCTCAATGAATGCCTGAACAAAACCTTTGCACATGTGTGTGTGTGTGTGTGTGTGTGTGTGTGTTTGTGTGTGTGTGTGTAGGCTCTGTTCACACTAGTGGGAAGCTTAACACCAATGGGTGTTCATTCCTATGAACAGAAATACCTCCATATGTACAGCAGCATGTGCAGAGGCTCTATTCAGACATTCAGTAACCTTGTGTAGGAGGAAGACCCCAGCCTGCCATCCCCGCACATTCACTGAATGCGCAAACTGGAGGAAGAAACTGGAGGAAGAAGGGGGGGGAGCACACAGCTATAGTAAGAATCTAGGCCTGATTTTTTCTTTCTTTCACTAATCAGTTTGGTCACAGGGACATTTTCAAATCCCCCTGATGGGTGGGGAAGGGAGACTAATCTCCTTTCAGGTGGTGAAGGTTCAATGGAGAAAAGCAAGGGGAAATATCTAATTAAAGTCATTACTTTTATGCTGCTCAGCTCTATTCATCTGGTTGACTTGACATGGCCTTTTCAACTGTATGGAAAAGGAGAGATTAGAATGAAGAATAATAGGGCAGCTCCTTAGTGAGCAGTTTCCATGAACCAGGAGCTCAACAAAGTGGCTAATGAGATGTGGGCTTGAATTTCTGGTTTGTTTCTGTTGTTGTGCATTTAGGAGCTTCCTTATTGACATGACAACTACTTACTGTCGCTACTAGTGTTGCTATCAAGCAGCAACAGAAAAGGATACTTTTCTCTCTTTAGGAAAATTTCAATTACATGCTTCAGATTGCCAAACTTAAGTCTAATAGTGACAAGCCCGAGGCAATGATCAGCAGGCCCCTCCGTATCCAGAAGGACGTGGGCATCCACTGTATGTGATGTTCAACCTGTTGGTTGCTCAGCTTCACAAGTTAGGTGCTCTTTGACTTTGAATTGCATTAGTATCCAGAACTGCTTTTCACTGTCTGCTCTTGGTGATAATCCTGAGGCCCTTTTCAAAAAAGTTCTGATCTAGAGATGATCATCCAAGACTTCTTAAACCTCAAAGCTAGAGCAATGTTTCACTCTATGGTGATAGAGGGTAAGCTTCAGCTAGTGCAAAACTGGTCCTTCCTCTTGATCAGGGTGGGTCACTATTTCCTCCCATTGATTTTGTGGTTTTGACCATGCTGTTGTTAATGTTCCCTCCACACCCTGCCAACAACCACCAAGCCCTAGGACTTGTAAAAATAAGCAAGTGAAGTTGTCTTCAGCCAAACACAAAAACATAGAACTCTCTTAATTCAGACAGCCTAGCTCTTGTCTCACAGCATCAAGTCTGAATGCTTGCATTAGCACTGCCTGCTGGGTGTACGTGCACTACCAAACCCACTTGTACAGTGCTCTCAGCATAAGAGATCAATAAAAATCAGCTTTCCATCACAATGCCGGGAAACAAAAGAGCTGAGTCACACTTTGTTAATATAGCAATCTGATCAGCTTATCTATTATGTCTCTCTCTCTCTCTCAGATATATAAATATATATTATGGCCAAAAATAAGTCTGTAACAGAGACCTTTTCCCATCCTCCCCACTTCATTCCCACAACAGACTAGACTGAAATATGCATATGAAACAGTTTGGCTATGATCATCAGTACTGATTAAATTATTCACTTTAATCAGTACTGATGATCATAGCTTAACTATTTTCTTTAGTCTTCCAGCCTAATTAATCTCCCATTCACTGGCAGAATACTCAGAACATAATACAGATACGGTATTAGCAGGTCTTACTTGCAAATGTTTACAGGATCAACGATTGCTGCCTCATTTGTGTTGAAAATTAGTGTGTGGATCATAAAGTGATACCACAAAATGAGAAACATACACAGCAGTAAGTGAAATGGCAGGTTTTACTGTACCAACTCAATTCAAAATGAGTTTTCAGACCAAGGGATGGCAAATCTGTTTCTGTTTCTCTCAGTTTTTCATTTTTACAATCTTAAATTCAGTTCTCCATATTTCCACATCAGCTTGCAATCTTCAGGAAAATTCTTCAGAAAATAATGTTATTTTTTCCATATGCACGCGCGTGCACACACACACGTACAGATAAGCAACTTTGCTTAATACATTTTTGCAAAGCAATTTCTCCTAATATAATGCATTTTGTATGTTATTTTCATAAATGTATGCATAATACCAATTTTACCTCAGAATGCACATTTTTGTAGATATTATTTGGCTGGAGAACTGCATTGGAATATTTGAAGGCATGTGAATTTGGAGGCTGCTTGTGCTTCAGATCTTGCATTGCTTCGCAAAGTCTGAATTAGGTTGGTTCACCTTCAAATGCAATTAAATTTCTCCTCGGATTCAAAACATAGGCAGTGTTATTGTAGGGCAGGGCAAAAAGAGAAAGACAGTCTGTTCTCTGGGAAAAATCAACTTTCTCCGAGCTGGCAGACGACCACGGGTAGTTCTAGGTGGTTTTTACAAGTGGAAACGAGGCTGGGCAGATTAACATTTTTCATGTGAGATAAAACTTGCTGGCCTGGAATCCACTTGTGCTTTATTGAACATCCCC